CTGCGCTCGATCCCGCCTCTGGCCTTCCTGACTTTGTGTTCACACCGGACCTAGATGGTGGAGGGGGAGCGGTAGATGCGGCGCAAGTCTACTATCAGTTAAAACTAATTCGGGCGCAAGCCACCGTCCCTGCGCCACCTTGCAGTGCGGCATATGGTGGACCTCGTCAGATACTACAGCTGCAAATGTCACCTCATATTTTAGGGGGCCTTCTTCCTTAGCCACGCACCTGTTACTACTGACTTAACACCCAGTTTGACTATAGTATTTAAGAGGTTTGGCAGATTTGCTTAAGTTAGTTGACCCAATTGTGAAAAAACTCGTGGCATTTGGCGGGCTTTGGACCTGCATAGTAGGGAAGGCCTTTACGCAGCCAACGCTCTACTGGTTGAGCTACAAATACCATGACTTGCACCGTGAGTTTAATCCCACTTGGATCGATTTTATCCGCCCAACTTTACCGCTCATATGGAATCCTCCAATACGAAACAGCAAGCTGACTGCCCAAGCAGGCTTTCCTAAGCAATCATCTGGAATCCACCAGAATGACTACTAAGCTGACTTAATTATTTAGGAGGTTCGGCAGATTCGCTTAATTTAGTTGGCCCAATTGTGAAAAAAACTCGCGGCATTCGGCGGGATTTGAACCCGCATAGTAGGGAAGGTTTATACGCAGCCAACACTCTACCACTTGAGCTACAAATGCCACGCTTTGCACCGTGAGTTTAACCTTTAGCCTTAAATCTGTCTGCCATTTATCCCTGATGCTAGATTCTGCTTTGCAAATAACTAAATATTAAAAGCTTAAACAAAATACTGCTCAAATAACACATTTTGCATAAACTGTCATCTAACCCAAAACTCACGGAGACAATTTAACTTCTGATGGGAAACGGCAAAAAGTCATAAAAATACAAGTTAAAATAAGAAAATTTTATCAATTTTTATAAACGGTCGCCGTGGTGGCACACCTAGATGCAGGCTCAAGCCACCCCAGCCAACCGCACTTGATTCCTGCCCTGAACTGGTAGGAATCAGGATATAATACTGTACGTATCGCCTGCGTCCGATCCAGTCTCTGGTCGTCCTGAAACCGAGCACAGTTGGATGAGGAAAGAGAGGGTGTGGGGGAGGCATTGCGTGTCTACTATCACTTAAAGTCTTATTCTCGCACATGTCCTCTTCCCGGGCCCAATTTTCTGTGGGGCACACAGTAGGCATGGTCGGATGCGATGGTCGACCTGTCATGATGTTCCCACTCGAATGGCGCCAAGCTTACATTCCTGACGGTCACAGGAATGAAAGGTACATCGGGAGTCATTTTGCACCAAAAGCATACATCTGTGACAAAGGCCGAAGGAGCAATCCCACAGACAGATTCTTCCCATCATAAGCCACGGGTTGCAGGAGGTTTACGTCTAGATATTTTTCATGTACTTCTGGCCTTTGACAGTGAGAACAAGTCTAGCTCGGAATAACCTCAAAAATAAGGATAAGGTTTCGCCAATCCAACCTTCTGAGCGTTTGTTACTCGCATCCTTATTGCTTTTTTTATTTTTAAATAGTCTTTGTCGTATATATGTGTCGGAAGATACCAGAGTTGGTGGTGCACACTTTGTGGGAATCCACGCTTCAACGGATTAAGGCTTCCCACAGTTTTCGCAGCTACTTCAGACGTACGTTCATCGCCGTTTTTGTACAGCTCCGGTTGTAGCGCTTCTTTATGATCGAATAAGAAATAACCGCGACAAAAGTAGTTTGCACTTTTTGCGTTATGAGAAATTTACTTGAATTGGTTTGTGGCAGTCGCATTTACAGTGAGGGCTGTGGCGTCCGAATAAAAAAGCTGTAATAAAATTGAGCGAAACAATTTCCGATCCTGATTGGGTAATCTGCATTATCTGTCTAGCACCATCGAACTTAGTTACGGAATACGAGTACTACCATCACGTGTAATCCCCAGATCCCGTCAGTAGGTAAAACACGCGTTCATACTTATAGTGACTATGTAAAGTGTAAGGCAACACCAGACACTATGAGAAAAAAGAGCTATTGCGTCTGGTTTATGGCATGACGACATAGTCTTCTCTGTGTTCTGAACTAACAATAGGTGAGAAAAGGCCAACATTTTACATGAAGGCCTCAGAATAAAAGTGTCCATTCTTACGTACGCTTTATTTACTTTAGGTCCCGAGAAGTGGACGGAGGTAGCGCAGGAGAAACATTTATCTATTAGGGCCTGTTTCGTTCTTCGAACAAGAGAAGCACCAACTGTCAGTAATCTCCCTCCTAATGTGCAGCCACAAGGTCTTGGAGAGAAGGTGGAGCCCAAGCCACTTCAAAGTAATGAGCCTTTCCCGGTCCCTGTAATGAATGACGCTTCTGGGGCCTCAACGAGCAGAGTTCACCAACCGTCCAACTACCAAGCTAGCAGCCAAGATATGCCAAAATTTCCTCTGTCAGTTGAGGCACTTACTGAACTTGCATACTATGCAGGGTGCCTGCAGAGTGATGACGGCGGGAAAACCATCAACAGGCTGCTTTTGGACGTAAATTCACTGAAGGTTAAAGGCGGACCGGCAGGACGCTTGTCGTCCTCACTCACAGTTGTAAATTATCTAACCATCATAGCCCGCCGACTGCAGGAACGTCTCATGCAAGAGGTGGAAAAGTGGCTTCGGCGTCTGGAAGGGGCATTCATCAATTGCGCGGACGAGTTATCTCGTCGAACGCAACAAGAGGCCGATGCCCACCTGAGGTTTCTTTCAACAGCGGGTCAAGGCCCTCTTACACAGTCCTTTGCAGCCTATAGTTTACTTGATCAAACCGAGGAATGGACCAGCGATCTGATGATCAAGGGGCTCAGTCGGGAGAGGATCTGCATTGAGGCCTACCTGCAGCGAGGTTCAGACAGCCCTCTACTTATTTTTGGGATGCCTGGAACTGGGAAATCATGCCTCCTACGCTACGCTCTGCGCAAGTTTAAAGTGTGTTGAAGTATTTTAGCAGGGCTTAGCCCTTTAACTTAATATGTGGGTTTGGGTTGAAGTCTTCAGTACAAGACTGCTCAGGTTCGTTTCGAAAGCTAGCATGAGCGTTTGCATTAAATTCGAATAGCTTTACAAGAATAACTGCGTTACCTCCCCCATCTACTAATGCCTAGCTATCAGCATATAAAAACACACAGAATGATTGATGTTAGGTTCTGCGCGGTTACCATATAAAAGCATAGACACACACGATGCAACTGTGAGGGACCCGGACTGTCAGCGAGTCCTACAGTGTCCTCCATGTAGGCTCTGGTACTCCGAATGTTCAACTGCTGACTTTC